GCAGACGCCCACCCTCTTCGGGAACACAGTGCCAGGGAGAGCTTGAAATGGGGGATGGCGGGGCCCCAGGACTCTGGTGACCTCATGGGGGGTTCCACTGAAGAGACAGGGCCCCCACAGGTGAAGTCACAGAGGTGGGGCTCCGTACCCAGACCTGCTCTGCCCCAGATTCCACAGGCCAAACTGCTTTTCAGTGGGTAGAGGGTAGAGAATGCCGGGCCCCGGAGAGTATTGGGAGGAGCAGACTGCCGAGGTGCACGCAGGCAAGCTTCCTGAGGCCATGCGCCCCGCAGCTGGCGGTGATCGCAGAGGGTGGGGGGCATGCAGTGAGTGTGTGTGGAGGTGGGGTGGCACAGTGTGGGGAGCAGGAGGCCAGGATGGAAGGAGCTGGGTCTCAGGACAGGGAGGCCTCAGCAAATAGGTGTATCTCCTTGTCCATCACAACCATTCAGCTGGTTGTGTCTGCTGGGAAGGGTTTGGGTGCCCGAGGATGGTTCAGCAAGGGGAAGTGCTGTGACTGGCTAGTAATGTTCACCACGGACAAACACGGAGTGGCGAAGGTGTGTCCTGCTTGCCATCCTCAGGCTGGCCCCGTGGGCTGGGAGAGGCCACACAGGGAGGTGGGCTGGGGGCCTGCTTGCTCCGTCACTGCTAAGTGGGGGGCTGGAGCGAGGGGAACTGTGTCATCCAGGCCCCCTCTGAAGGCCCACCTCACCACCTTGCACACTCCCTGGCCCAGGGCAGGTACTCAGAAAATGTTTGAGCACCAATGGGGAGGCCCCCAAAGCACCTGGCCCACTCCAATCCACCTCTGCCTTCCCCAGGTGGCCTTGGGGAATGCCCACATCCCCCAGACCCCGACTTCCATCCTGCCAAGTCTTGTTCTCTGACTTTCTTGGGCGTGACCGTCTTTCCCACCTGCTCCCCAGAACCCAGTCCTCCTACCTGCTCGCCACACACACCTGGGCAGGGCAGAGAAAGATGAGCAGGCTCCTGGCTGCCTAGCCCCAGCGCTGTCCCAGGCAGCGGCTTCCCGGGGCTGTACTGCCTGCACCCAGGGCCAGGCCACCCCTGCTGGGAGGAAGTCTGGAGTGGACACCTGTTCCACCCAGAGCCTGTCACAGAGATCCCAGCCACAGCCAGTAGGGCACAGGGAGCCCAGTCTCTGGGATTCCTGAATGGGGCACCCCTCCTGCACAGTGACAATACCCAGATATACCCTGGGCACTGCTTGTGTGTACCCATCTAATAGTGTGTGCACATGTGTACTGTTTCTGCACACACATGCCACCTGACATACAGGTAGGTCTGTGAGTCTGTGCCCACACTGTGTGTGTACAGTCTGGGCAGAACTGCCAGGCCCCTCACAGTCCACTCCTAGCCTGACTTAGACATGACCTGCTGTAAGTGCAACCCAGTCAGGCACTTCACCAAGCAACAGGGAGGAAGCTGCCCCAAGGTTCAGGGGCAAGTGGGGTAAGCCCCATGGGTGTCAGGCAGGACTCTGATGGCCTCCTCTGTCCACAGGCTGGCTCTGTTGCCAGCAGCAGCAGGCACCATGGGCTAGAGTGCCCAGCCCCAGCCCCGGTGCCTGCTCAGCCCATAGTGGGATGTGAGGTAGGCCTTTCCTGAAAGCAAGCAGGAGCTCACCCTAAATTTGTGCTAGTCTCCCTAGGACAGAAGGACAAGAAACGGACCCTGCTTCCTTCCAGTGTATGCCATCCAAAACACAGTGACCCATCTCTAGGACATCTGTGGGCACCAGTGGGAAGAGGAAAGCCCGTCTTGAAGATACAGAAGCTGTTGTTGGTGACACAGCCCCTGGAGCACCCAGCTCCAGGGTGCACCTGGGCTCACATCTGCTCAGTTTATACCATCTGCTGAGCCTTGCCCTGCTGGAAGGCTCCCCCACTGTGGCTCTGGGGCTTGCAGGCCCAGCCTGGGAGGGCAGCTCCAAACGTGCCTCCCTGGAGCTGGCCTGCCACCTGGGTACACAGGGAGAGCCATGGGTGGCAGGAGGAAGGCTGGGTTTGAGGGAAGGTAGATGTGCCATTAGGCACCCAGAGGGAGAGACTGGTAGAAGGGTTGAACACCGACTGTGGTAGAGTTCAGAATGAAGGCGGGGGCAGGGGCCCCAAAAGCATGGAGACAAGGCTAAACCAAGTCTGAAGGATCAGAGGAGACCTCCCTGAGGGTGACATCTGAGCTGGGATCTTCTAGAAGCAGGGAAAGAGTGAGGGCAAAACATGTCCAGGCTGAGGGAGTAGCATGTGCAAAGGCCTGGAGGTATTTGGGAATGGGTGTGTCCTGCAGAGCTCCAGCTTCCGCACCTGCAGGTCTGCTCCCGAGACCAGCTCACCCTAGGGACACGGAGCTGCTCTGCCCTCAACCCCACCATGCCGCTCAGTAGACCCTAGTGAGCAGGGGCACCGCTCCTGGGGGCTGCAGGTGGGGGAGGGCCTGAACCCTGAAGGGCAGGAAGAGCCACATTCCTGAAGAGGAGGAATGTCTTTGATCCCCAGGCCTCGCCCAGGGCACCAGGTCCCTTCTCCCAGGTGCCCTCTGCCAGCATCCCTGTTAGGTGGCAGGGCAGAGCCCTGCACAGGGATGCCTTTGGCCCCTTGCATTCTGACCTGGACAGGCCCCTGCTGTGCTCTAAGTAGAGGGTTCAGCCTGCCATGCACACACCCCAAGGGCAGCCCTTCTGTGATCCATTTTATGTGCTGTGTCTCACAGGGGGGGCTTCCACTCAGAAACCACGGCTTTGGGCCTCAACGACCTGGGTGAGGAGGACCTAGGACCCCACTGTCACCTTGTTTGGCCAGAATTCTCCGCTCCTTGCTTCCCCTGTCACCACCCCCACCCCCACCCCATGCTGTCCCTTCTCCTCTAATCATCCAAACCCTGTCTCTTTTTACTTCCCTGCTGGAGGGGGGCAGTGTTTCCAATCCCACACGTGCCCCAGGTCTCTCCCTCAGGGTAATGGCCCCCAGAGGAGCCGAGAGAGGTTGAGGAGCCACTGCAGGCTCCCGTGCGGAATGGCAGATCTCTTTCCTCTTCTGATGGGGTTCTTCCTCCTGCACGGGGTGGACGTGCCCATTTCAGGTGGGTCCCCACTAGTGAGAGTGTGGCCAGTTCCCCCCAGGTACCGTTGTAGCCCACGCCCCTGCAGGCCCTACAAGCCTGCCCAGGAATAGCCGGCAGGGCCCCTCCCTTGTGGGTGGGCTCCGGCTTCTTTTATGAGTGCTGCCTCCTTGCCCAACAACCTGCCCCCGACCGCCGACCGCCGTCCAAGGGCCTAACCTCCGAGAAGTACTTGCAGCAGGACAGATTTGTGAGGGGCTTGGCTGGGCACCGTGCAGCACTCTCCTACGGGGTGAAAACTGCGGCCCAGAGACAAGCACCATACTCGGGTCACATCCATGTCAGCAAGGAGCAGGGCATAATCTGGGTCTAGACCCCAGAGAAGGAGGCTCTCCCAGCAACCCCAGTGGAAGTCAGAGGCCCCATTTCTCCTTTCCCGTCTCTGGGCATGGAGTCCCGGGTGACAGAACCATCTTCTGGCTGCAGTCTGCAGTGCCATGGGCCTTCCGGGAGCGTGCCTGCGGGAGAGACCCCCGCCCCTCTGGGGCAGCTCTAGGGCCCGAGAAACCCTTAGGGTAGGCTACCCTGCGCAAGGAAGGCTGGGGCGGCGGCGTGGCGGGGGGCTGCTCCTGGGCCCCCCTTCCTCGTGCCTTCCGGTCAGTGAAGCTCAATCGTCGGGGTTCCAGAGGCCCTCCTCTCCCTTCAGTACATCTCCAACCCTCCGGCCCGGCTCCCTCCAGCTGGAGTGGAGGCTCGGCGTGGCGAGCCCACAAGCCTAGGGCAGAATGAGAGGGGTGAACCCCAAGTTGGTGAGGCACTCGCCCGGGCCTGGAACTCGAGCCGCGGTCCCGTGGGGAAGCGCGCAGGCCCGCGCACGCGCGCAGCCCTGGAGCCGCTTTGTTCCACGCTACCTGCAGCTCCATTCACCTTGTCTCCGCCCGTGAGCCGACGCGGCTCACGCGGAGGCCCCGCCCACTTCCCGCGCGGGGTGGGGCTGGCGGCGGGTCCCGCCTCCACCCCCCACTCCACCGTCTTCTCCGGCCGTGATTGGTTGTATATGCGGCGCTCTCCCGCCCATCGCGGAAGTTGATTGGTGCAAAGGAAAGGAGGGTGGAGGAAGGCGAACCGATTATAAAAGGAGCGCGCTCCTCCCACCGTCAGTAGAAAAGTCACGTGGCGCTTCATTTGGTGCCTGTCACCACCCCGTCTGTAAAGCTTTCTTAAAGGGCTCGTCCTCCCTTCCCACCTGGTTCTTCTCAGGGCTCCTCCGCGACTACTCGTAGGGGGTGGCATGGCCCAGGTCTTCCTACTCCATCAGACCTGCTGGGATGAGACCCTCCTCAGGCCTCGGAGCCTGTGGCTATCATAGGCACGGTGCGGTCACCAGAAACGGTGGCCGCCTAAGCATAGTACCTGGCACGTAGTAGGCATTCACTTTTCATTTGTTGAATGAACTCGCTGAGAGAATCAATGAATGGGGTTGACCGACTGGGGAGGGAGGTTGGCTCAGCGTGTTCGCACCATCCCTCCGCCCCATCCCCCGGGAGACCCCTTCTGTGAATGTGGCAGGGTGCAGTCGCAATATTCCCCAGCGCAGCCCAGGAGGGTAGGGCACTGAAGAGCTGGGAACGCGGCCCCGGGCCTCGGGAGGGTGTCTTGGCCGCGCCCCTGGCCTGGTCGCGGCCAGTTCCGGCCAGTGAGGGCGAGGTCGCTGGCGCCCGGGGCTGCGTGCGCGCCCGCGCGCCCTTGGGGAGGGGCGGGGGAGCGCGGCGCCTTTAAGCCCGGGCGCCGGTCCGCGGCCCCGCCCCCGGAGGACGCCTCGGCGCGCGGCCGCCGGAGCCGCGGTTTAATTGGGGCTGTCAGGCCGCGGCGCGCGCGGAGGGCCGGGCGGACGGAGGCCGGGAGGCCGGGGCGGCGGGCGCGCAGCTCGGCGGGAGGCGGGCGCCCGGAGACGCGGCTGGGGCCCGCGCGGCCGGGGCGCCGTCCCAGGGCAGGGCTGCCCGGCCCCGGCCCCGGGCCGCCCGCTCTCCCCATGAAAAACCAGCTCCGCGGCCCCCCAGTGCGGGCGCACATGTCGGCCTCGGGGGTGTCGGCGGCTGGGGGCACCGGGGCGGGGTCGGAGCCCTGTGTGGGGCCCGGGTCCGGCGCAGGCACCGGAGCAGGCGCGGCGTCGGGCGCGGGGCCCATGCCCTGCAAGAGTGCCGAGTGGCTGCAGGAAGAGCTGGAGGCGCGCGGCGGCGCGTCTCTGCTGCTGCTCGACTGCCGGCCGCACGAGCTCTTCGAGTCGTCGCACATCGAGACGGCCATCAACCTGGCCATACCCGGCCTCATGCTGCGCCGCCTGCGTAAAGGCAACCTACCCATCCGCTCCATCATCCCCAACCACGCCGACAAGGAACGCTTCGCCACGCGCTGCAAGGCGGCCACCGTGCTGCTCTACGATGAGGCCACGGCTGAGTGGCAGCCAGAGCCCGGCGCGCCCGCTTCGGTGCTCGGCCTACTCCTGCAAAAGCTGCGCGACGACGGCTGCCAGGCCTACTACCTCCAAGGTGAGGGCAGCACCGAGATCCCCGCTCGGGGTTGGGGCTCTCCCCGCGCCGCTCCTTGACACCCCTGCCGGAGGCTGCTTTCTTTCTTCGCGCTCAGCCTGCCCAGCCGGCGCCACGTCGCCCCCGGTCAAAGCCGCGTCTCCCTGGAGCCGAGTCCCCTCAGTGCAGGTTTAGACTGGCTCGGGGTCCCCTCCGCACCTTTCTTTGCACAATTCGAGTGGGCCGAACAAACTTGTCCCCGCCTGGGCTCTCCTTTTCTCCCTGTTGTGGGGGCCATGGTAGTTTGCAGGCTCCTGCTCAGCGCCTCGGGAGGGAGGGGCCGCCTCCTGGGACCCCGAAGACAGCAGGGCACCCAAGTCCAGCATCTGCAGCCTGGAATGCATGGCTCCGGGAGGCCAGGGTCGGGACAGGGGCCTTTCGCAGCACCATCCCTGTCCCCAGGGCATAGGGACAGCTTGGGTTGGGGCACTCCAGGCGACCCAGCATGGGTTTCACCACTTCAGACTCACTGATCCGGGGCCTCTTGGAGGCTTTTGGAGGGAGGCTATAAGCAGTGTCCTTGCCCCTGCCCTGATTTTCCAGGGCCCCCAACTTTCCAGCCTGAGGCCCTAGAGCTTTGGGAAGGGGGAAGCAGCGCCAGGGGGCGAGTGGCTGCAGCCGGTGTTTCCAATTAACATTCCAAAATGGCCTCTCTCTGGCAGCGGGGAGGGCAGGCAGGGAGGGGAGGGGAGGCCTGCGGCACCCTCGGGCGCCAGGCCCCTGCCTAGCTGCAAGGTGCTCCCCGTTTCTTGTCCCTGTAAAGCTCCCAGCACCCTCCTCCTCTGTGCGTCCAGGGCTGAGGACATCTGGTATGGTGAGGGGATTCTGGACCTGCCCCTAGAGAAGGGGAGGGCCAGCAGTGACCTTCACACTGTCCCCCCTTGACTGTGGTTGGGGTGGGGGCAAACTGTGGACCCCAAGTAGGGAGGCCAAGCCCCTGCCTCTCACTGACCCCGTGCAGCCCTGGCTCCTGCTGTCTCATCTGTAAGAGGGGTTTGCCCCCACAGTGCTGGCCCGAGATGGGGCTGCCTGCCCGCCTTCACCGTTCAGCAGCTATCCCGCGCCCAGGGTGCTGGGGCATGGGGGCTTCAGAAAAGGAGTGAGCTGGGGCCTCTCCCCAGGTGACCTAAAGCTGGCTCTCTGGCTGAGCCCTGAAGCCTCGTGGGTAAGGGTGAAGGCGTGTTCCTTTGCTTCCTGGGGCCTCAGTTTCCTCAGCTGGACAGTGGGTTGTAACTTGGATGTGAAGAACACAGGAGGAGGTACCCATGTAACGTGCTTGGCCGATGGTGGCGTTACCATGCTTGGCATGGGCAGCCCTGGCCGTTGCTGCTCTCACCCATGTGGACCAGGGGCGTGGGCAGTCTCCCACCCAGGCCCTGTGTCACCCTGGCCACAGGTGGTTTCAACAAGTTCCAGACGGAGTACTCAGAGCACTGCGAGACCAACGTGGACAGCTCGCCCTCCCCGAGCAGCTCGCCGCCCACCTCGGTGCTGGGCCTGGGAGGCCTACGCATCAGTTCTGACTGCTCGGACGGGGAGTCAGACCGAGAGCTGCCCAGCAGTGCCACCGAGTCGGATGGCAGCCCTGTGCCATCCAGCCAACCGGCCTTCCCCGTCCAGATCCTACCCTACCTCTACCTCGGCTGCGCCAAGGACTCCACCAACCTGGACGTGCTGGGCAAGTACGGCATCAAATACATCCTCAACGTCACGCCCAACCTGCCCAACGCCTTTGAGCATGGCGGCGAGTTCACCTACAAGCAGATCCCCATCTCCGACCACTGGAGCCAGAACCTCTCCCAGTTCTTCCCCGAGGCCATCAGCTTCATTGGTAGGTGTCACCCCACTCTGGGCTGGCTGGGCAGGCAGGCACAGCAAGGTGTGTACGGGGCTCTGCACGTCACCCGTGCCTGCCTAGGTGCCTCTGGGCCTGTCGAGGCCTGTGTGTGCCCTGCATGTGCCAGCGTGTGTCCATGGGTGTACCCAGGCCTGCTGTGAGTCACTGAGGCCCTCAGGGCCTGAGCACCCCCGAGTCCTGGGCTCCCTGCAGCTGTCGGCACCTCACAGGCTGTCTGCTGTCCGCTTGTGTTTTTCTGGCTCGTGTTGTGGCTTAGCGAGCTGGAACATCATTGCTCTCAGGCCTCCCACGGGTCTCACTTGCTCTGCATCACGCCTCAGCCCACATGTCTTTCCAGGAGGGGGCTTTACTGTGTACCCCACCTGGAGGCCTATCCAAAATGGGCAGCTATTGGAATGTGGTGACCCAGAGCACCTCGGTGGGGCCCCAGGGGCTCACAGCAGGCTGTGGGGATTATTACTTCGAATAGAGATGGTGTACAGGGGACGTGGGGGTGGCTGCGGAAGGTCTCTCCAGAGCAGTGTGTCTGTTTTCTGGCTTGGAACCCTCTGAGTGCCCTGCATCCCTTGACTGCCTGGGGCTCTGCAGGCCTGGCCCTGGTTCTCCCCTGAGTGCGGGGAATGGACGCAGGATCAGGATGAATGGAAACCCTGTGTTTCTGGTGGCAGGAAGAGGGGTGGCCTGGGCAGTTGTCTCCTGCTGGCTGCTGTGTCCAGTGAGGGCGTTTTGGTGTGGGCTGGGCTGGGCTGGCTTTAATAACAGGAAGTGGGAGGCTCCCGGCCTCATCCGCTTGCTGGGAACCAAAACTAGGTGCCTGGCTGCGAGGAAGGAAGGACGCTGAGACTGAGGGGAGGGGCTGCCGCACGCCTGTCCCAGCTTCCCAGCTCTGCCCAGGGGATGTGGCCAGAGGGTTATGGGTACAGCCTCAGCATTCACCAGTCCCCCCGTGAGGAAGGGGGGTTGCGGAGGGGGACCCCGGATTCCCCAGGGGTGAGCCTGGCTCTCAAGTGCCTTTGTCCTCGAAGGCCCCTCTGTGTTTGGTGAGGGGGTCTGGCCCCATTTGATAAGTAAGGGAATTTTGGCCCAAGCATCCCATAGGACTCTATGGGATGGGGTCAAGCGCCAGCCCCCGACCGCTCTGCCACACCCTGAGAAGGCTAAACACTTGGACCACCCAGGAATGGGTTTGGGGGCCAGGTGTTCCCCATATCCTGGTGTGTCTCCCCAGGAACCCCCATCTCCCATCCCAGGTCTCAAGGTCAGACCATGTGGCTCCTCTGAAAGCCACATCTGTCTCTTCCTCCAGTAGCCTGGCACCCAGTCAGTCCCCAGTCTGGATTAAGCTCCTACTGCGTGCATACGCCTGGGCACCTTCCTGCCGGGTGGGGAGGTGAAGCTGTTCCAGGCCAGAGCCAGTGAGCCGCCGAAGACGAACAGCTTGTGAGCCTGTGTCATGCAGGGGTGCACTGACAGGTTGCAGCCATGTGCCTGGCTCTCGGGGGCTCAGAATCAGGGAGGTGGGGCCCACAAAGGCCCTGGGACTGCAGCTTCCTGATCTGTGTCCCTGGTTTAGCTGTGGCACAGGGGGCAGCTGCCCTGGGCCCGGGAGGAGTGGCGACAGGACTGAGTCGTTCCAGGAGTCAGTGGTGTTGTGCTCCTGTGTCAGGCGGAGGGGCCGGAGCAGCACTGGGTGGCAGGAGGGCTGGGTGTGGGCAGGAGGGCTGAACCTGCTGGTGCTTTGGGGCATCACTGGTCCTCGGCCCACCAGGAGAGGCCCTGTGCATGGGGTGGGTAGGCCCCATGAATGCAGCCCAACTGTGGGACCGCAGGCAGGCCCCGTACCAGTCCCAGGCTACTGGGCACAGGGGAGGGCCATGTGTGGGGCGGGCCCCCAGCCCCCTGTGGAGGGGCTCCCTCAGCGTGTTTCCCAGGAGGCTCCTGGGTGCCCGGGAGAGTGGCACCGGAGGTGCAGGCTCAGCCCCCAGCCCAGGTCATGGGCTGGCCATGGTGGTGCTCCAAGTTAGGAGGAGCCCCTGTGTGGCCTTGGGCTCATCGCTGCGCACTGTCCCCGCTTGTAAAGCTAGCTTACTAGCCATGCTGCAGATGGCCTGAGGGTGCAGGAACACCACGGGGGGGCAGGCCAGCAGCAATCCCAGCCGTCAGCCGCTTGTGTCTGGGACCTCCCTTGGCTCAGGTCCTCATAAGGCCCATTTTACAGATGAGAAAACAGAGGCACAGGGCTGTCCAGTGGCTGGCGCTGACTCATGGTAGGGTCTTCTCCACATACCCTTGACCTCCACCCCAAGTTGCTGTCCCACCTGGGTGGGACTTCCCCAGGCCCCTGAGTCAGCCCCAGCTGTGACCGTGCTGCCCTGTGCCCTGGCCCCGCCTGCTGCGGCCCCTGGAGCACGTGCCTGCCTGACCCGTGCCTGTGTGTTTCAGACGAGGCCCGCTCCAAGAAGTGCGGTGTCCTGGTGCACTGCCTGGCAGGCATCAGCCGCTCAGTGACGGTCACTGTGGCCTACCTGATGCAGAAGATGAACCTGTCTCTCAATGACGCCTACGACTTTGTCAAGAGAAAAAAGTCCAACATCTCACCCAACTTCAACTTCATGGGGCAGCTGCTAGACTTTGAGCGGACGCTGGGGCTGAGCAGCCCATGTGACAACCGCACCCCCAGCGAGCAGCTGTACTTCTCCACACCCACCAACCACAACCTGTTCCCACTCAACACGCTCGAGTCCACGTGAGCCAGGCGGGTGGGCAAGCGCATGTCCCTGCATTGGCCCGGAGAAGCTGGACAGCGCCCGTCCGAGCCGGCAGCGGCACCAAGCTTCCCCGCCACCCTGCAGGCCTTTCTGCAGTGGCTGTGGCTCCCACACCCCCAGCTCCGGGAGTCCCAGGGGCCTCAGCCTTGTCCCAAGGACACTCCTCTCTGCTGACGGCCCAGCCACTTTGGCTGTTTTTTAAAGACACGTCCACGGTCAGAGCTTCCTTTTTACTTTGGCAGGTGAATCCAAGCTCCCTGGAGCACAGCAAGTGTTCAAGCTCTTCTTAATTTTTCTTTTTTTAACATAAAGTGTTATTTTCAGGCTACATGCAGCAGTGGATTGTACAAACCAGTATTTCCTCCCTGTCTTGATCCTGCAAGAGAGAGAAGTGTTCTCAGTTTTATTTCTCTTTCTATTTCAAAAAGCAACTATTGGGTTTTTGTTTTTGTTTTTAATTGGAAAAGACAAACCCCGTGTTGATCTTGACCAAATGCGTTTTGCACATGTGTGAAGCCCCGTTCCTGCCGAACGCCCTTCCTAAAGGGCTGGCTTGCTGCTTTCTCGGTTTCAGACCCGCCCAAGTTGTGCCCACATCTCCCACCTTGGCCCGGCCCAGTCTGGCACTGCGAGGAGCTGTGACTGGTCAGCTGGACAGGTGGCCTTTGTGTTCTCTGCCCTCCCAGATGCCCCTCCATGGTCCCTGCAGACTCCCTGGGACAGGATATGGGAGGCCCTGCACTGTCCTGTTGGACGCAAGGCTGCAGGGCCTGTCATGTGGTAGCGTTAGCCTGCGGGCTCAGCCCTGGCCTGGGGCCTTTCTCTGTACCTACCCACTGCTTCTGTCTCTTCCTCTGTCTGTCTGTAACCGACAGAGGAGGTCCAGTGGCTGGGGACAGCTTGGCAGGGGGCCCAGCCTGCCCCCTGAGCTTCAGTCCCCCACCCCGGCTGCGGCTTCGGCCTAGCTACCACTCCGCCCCTCGCCCCATGGAAGCCTTCCCTCTGCTGCCAGGAAACTGGCGCCCATTTCAATCCCAGGGCAGGAGCAGAGGGGATGAGGTGGGCAAGTGCAGGGGCTGCGAGCTCTGCCCCCACGTGGCCCCCAGTATCCACAAAGCAAAGCCACGGATTCCGTTGTCCTGTTCTGTTCCTTCTCCAGGGCCAGGGGTCTGGGCTGCGTGGGGGCCAGGGGGCAGGGAAGCGGCTGGGCCAGGGTCCCTGAGCGCGCCAGCACTCAGCACGTGAGTGAGGCCACGGAAACTCGGCCCCCACTGCGTCTTACCTCACAGGCGGTTTTCAGGGATTCTTTAAGGCGGCAGATTAAAATCTTATCATAGACAAGAAATCGAGACAAAGCTTCCACGCTGTACATGGTTCTCCTTCTCTCTCTTTTTTACTTTTAAAAAGAAAAACCCAGAAAGATGTATCACGTTTGTGTAAATGAGGGTATTTGTATGCTAAGAGGGTGGTCAGTTTTGCTTTATGTTCTTATGAAGGAAAATTTGTGACCCTACATATATATACACACACACACACATATATATATCCCGAACCAGCAACGGGACTTTGTTTATATTGCAAATAAATATTATTTTTTCTTTAAAACGAGTTGTGTCCAATAGGGGCCTAGGGCCAGGGGTGGCAAGGAGGGGTCCCGAGGTCAGCGCTGCACACCTACTGTGCATGAGGGGCAGCCTGACCCTGCCCGGGGCCTTGCTGGCACTCACTTTGGCCAGCCGGAGGGCCCACAGCTGCAGCAGCAGCCGGGCCTGGGGGTGACCTGGGGTGTGGGCACCACCAGCCCTTGGCACTGCAGGGCTTTCTCTAGCAGCTTTGCTGACTGGTGACAAGAGGTGGCAGCTTGGATAGGTTTCCTGACCAAGGTCACCCAGCAGCCCTTCCCACCCAGAAGGGCCCAGGGCTGTCCGCTGGAACATTGCCCAGATTGCCCCAGGGCTCCAGGCCTCGGCCCTTTCTCTTGCTCCTCTGGGTGGACAGGGGCACGCCCTTACCACCCCTCTGCCTCTCTCTTGCCATTCCTGGGACACCAATGGGACATGAAACCTGGTCAGTGACAGGTCAGCCTGCTCTGCTCCTCAGGAGCACGTGGCGCAGGACCCTCAGCCTTCCTGAGCCTCGGTTTCCATCCCCGTAAAGTGGGCCCTCCCACCTCCCACCCAGATACCCGGTGCTGTTTGTGTTCAGGCATGAAGAGCGTGTCACGTTCATTTCCCGGTCAGCCTGGGCCCATAGAGAGGAGTCGGCCATGCCTGGCTCCTCCAGAGCAGGTGAGCCTCAGCCCCCACGTAGGCCGCTTTGGGGGCTTTAGGCCAGGCGCTGGGGGGGAGCAGGGTGCAGGGATAAGGCCTAGAGGAGGATGGCCATGGCCTGGGGGAGGGAGGCCCCAGCAGGTGACAGACCCGTGCTACGGATGGGAAAGGGGGGCTCCAGGGAGTTGTCTCCTTTGCCTCTGGCTGGATTGAGTGAGCCGTCAGGGTCTAGGAGGCCTGGGTGCTGACTCAGTTTCCCCGTCTCTGCCTCTCACCTGGCTTTGTCCCTTCCACTGTGAAGAGCCAGCCCAGTGCTGGCCTCTGGTGGGCAGGTGGGCCAGAGGGTCAGGGCAGCTCCGCTGAGCTCCCGTCCAAGGACCTTCCCTGTTGGGCTGTCCAGGCCCTACCTTCCCCATCCCTGCCCCAGCTCTGCCAGGGAGTTACATTTGAGCAGCACACACACGTGACCAGTCACACCTTCACACATGCAGAGAGCTGAGGGGTACAGGTTCTCCAAGCAAAGGGACCAGGGTTGGAGCCTTAGCCATGTGGCCGCCAGCTATTCTCCCCTCGCGCTCAGCTTTCTCATCTCTAGAATGGGAGACTGTGCAGCCAGCAGGCCTGTGGGAGGGGCAAGGGGCTCTCGCTGAGGGGTGCTGCCCCTTTTGCTTTGGGGCTCCCTCAGGGCCCTGGCCCTTCTGTGCCAGGGGCAGGCAAGGGGGTGGGGGCCTTGGCAGGCAGAGAATGGGCCTTTGTTCCTTCCTGCTGCCTTGGCCAGGGCTGGGGAAGCCCGCGGGTGCTGGCCTGGGGGCTGGGCCCTCAACAGGCCGAGTAAGTGCCTGGCAGTGCCAGCAGGCCCGAGCACGGGATGGGGGGTGGGAGCAACAGCACCTCCTAAGTCGGCCTCTCACTGAGGGGCTCTCCCTCCTGTGCAACTCAGGCCCGGCGACCTCTGACGCACAGTGTCCTTATCTGTAGAAATGTGTGCCTCAGCAGCGTGCCTGGTTGCGGTTTCCTTCGGCTTCCCTCTGGTGGGGGCAGAGGGCCAGGTCACGGCTCCGGGGCTGGGGCCCTGGGGCCTGCTCTGTGACCCTAGGCTAGGCCGTGCTTCCTCTGGGCCTCTGTCTCCACCCCGGGCCCCAGGTTCCTGCCTCATGGTCCTCTGAGGTCCTGAGGCCACCCCGAGGCTGCCTGCTGTCCCCCCAGCGGCCCCGTCCGTGCCCAGCTGTCTTCCCCAGGGCTCCTGGGGCCGGCTCTCTGCTTGGCCTTGGCACCCTCAGCCCCATCTCTTCCTCCTGACCCTCTTTGCCTCCCTGGGTCTGTGTCTGGCTCCATCTCAGCCCGGCCCCAGGGGCGCCTCATCACCACTCAGTGCTCTTGCGGGAGGAGGGCCGGGGCCTCTCGCTCTCCACGCATTCGTCCAGCAGCCATGTCCGGCGGCACTGTCCCAGGAGTGGGGACACGCCTGCAGGAACTCAGCCATGTCAGGCTGGGTGGCAGGATAATGGGGCCCTCAACTTGTCTCAAGGAGTGAATCAGGTGCCGCAGCAGGAGTGACTAAGGCTGGACATGAGAAGGAACTTGCAGCACTGCTGAGCAGCGGCCTGCGGCATCCTTCCAAGAGGAAACCACAGGGAGCTGAGGGTCAGCGGGGCTACAGGCAGCCCTCCGGAGAGACGTCCCTCCCCAGAGGGCAGATGGAGTCGCCCCACGTGAAGGGGCAGGATGGGGCGGAAGTGGGCACCTGTCCCTCCCCTGCTACCCACCCAGGCCCACTCAGGCCTGCCCCCAACACGGGGTTGCACCAGTCCTGCCTCCGCGTCCGTGCAGCTGGGAACACCAGCACCCACACCCTAACAGAAGCCAGAGAGCCTGATGCAGCCGTCAGGTAGCCCTGGATGGAGCTGCCCTGCTCCCAAACCCCGGCCGATGGGGAAATAAATCAAGGCTCAGCGTGAGTCAAGGCTGGGTCCCCCAACGCTGCTATCCTGAGGCTCCCCACCCAGGTCCTGCCTCCCCCGTTGGGCTTGCCTCCGGCCAGGTGAAGGACCAGATACACATGTGCATGCTTGTGCGTGCACAGCCCCCTCGTTTCTCAGGACAAGCCAAAGCCGGCCCCGCGGTGACAGAGGAGCCGCCTGCCTCTGACTCCAGCCTCTGCTCATCAGGGCGCAGCCCGGGTGAGGTCATCCCCTCCCAGGCATGCCATTAGCAGCTCTCCAGAGGTAAGCGGAGGCCTCAGCCAGCCCTGTGGCTGCGTCAGGTGAGCGCTGATGGTGACAAGGACCTCAGCCCCATTCCCAGGGATGCCCCACTGCACACCTCCAGGGGGCGTCACGGACCCTTCTGTGCATCTGTAGGATCTCCGTTGGCCCCTCTGCACCCATGCCTCCTCCTCTGGCTCCAGGGCCCTTCCAGCCCTGCAGCAAAGGGGTGGCTGTGGCCCCTCCCCCAAGGCTGGGTGGGTGAGGAAGGAGCCCGGCTGTGGGCCGGAGGAGAGGGTGAGAACAGGGCACAGCAGCAGGACTCATGGGTGGCGGGGCCTGTGTGTGGACAGAGGGTCCACACTTGCCAGACCCCACATCCCTGGCCTGGGTGCCTGCTGCCAACCCACACAGGAAGATGGGGTTCAGCTGGGACATGCCTGGGTCCGTGGTGGAGCCCTGGCCACTGGAGGCTGAGTCCCCACTCCCTGGCCCCCTCATGGGGCGCCACAGGCCAGCACTTAGAGAGAGGCGGGCCCCCGGGTGCTCCTCATCCCGGGACTTCCCAGAGCAGCGCAGCCTGGGTGGCCCCCCCAGAGCCTTGCTTTCCTCTGCACAGCAGGGGCAAGAACTGTGGGTCGAAGGGGAGAAGGCAGGGTGAAGGGCACTCCTCTCAGCAAGGCCCTGGGGCTGGGAGTCGGGGTGCTGTGTTAGCTGCCCCCTCCCAGGGGCACCTCCCAGGGCCAGCCAGCGCCGATCCAAGATACCATGTTGACAAGCCTCAGGTCTGCACAGGCGAGAAATGAGAATAACGACTGACCGACCCGCCCCCAGACCCAGGACTCGGGGGCTGTGGCCCAGACCATCGGTCCTGCCCCAGGGGCTGGATGACCCAGCATCAGGAGTAGCCCAGACTGAAGGAAGGCTGGCGTCCAGGGCTGGGGGCCCTGACTGGGTGGGAGGGGGGCCATGCAAGGCCCCTTTGCAGGGGCCCCGAGGGCCTTCCTGCCTATGCAGGGGACTCCTCCACATGTCCCCTGTCCTGAGGCCCGGAGAAACTTAAGAGGACCCCAAGTGAGTCCTGGCCCCTGGTCGGCTGCACAGCCTGCCCCTCGCTTCTCCGAGCCTCTGTCTGGGGGTTTGATCACCGATTCCGGGTGTCCTCCTGAGGCGGTCAGAAAGGGCCTCATCTCCATCTGCACCCCCTCTATTCCTGGCTCAGCCTGCTTCCTGTCCTGCCTGCCCCTCAGTCCTTCGCTGTCCCAGCAGGGCCTCTGGGCAGGACTCTGGTGGAGCATTTTCTGCATTTCAGGCTCTTTCCTGGGCCTTGGGCCCAAAAGTGGCATTTCCAGGGCACACACTTGTGCTCCATTTTTCCAAATGGTTTCTGCAAGGAAAGCCAGGTTATTCGTCTCTTAGGTTTGGCTATTATCATAGCTGATTTGGAGAAGCCGGGTCAGCAGGGCCAGGCACCCGGAGGGAGCCCAGCACAGAGCAGGGCTGGGTCCTTCCTTGGCAGGGGCCCCTGCCTGAGACCTGGGGCCCTGCTGCCCCTCACGGCTGCTCTGCTGGGTTCTGGGGACGTGTCTGACCTAGAACACTAACTTGAGGAGCAGTGATGATAACACGCACACATGGCCTTGCTCTGGGCCGGCATGCTGTGTGGCTGTACCCGATATGCTCATTTAATCCCTGGAAGGGCAGGGGAATCCCTGGGGAAGCCACAGTGAGAGTGGCAAAGTCGGGGCAGGGTCTGGGTGCAGGTCTGGCTGATTCAGGAGTCCCCCTGCTCTCTACCCCAGGCCTGAGGGGGTCGAGGCTGGCTTTGGGCCTTTGACCCCTCCCTGTGCGGGCACCACATGGGCTCCCACCTGCACCAGCCCAGCCCCAGAAACGCAGCATCAGGCAGGAGAGAGTCTATAGCTCCTTCCTGGTGGCTTCTGCCAGCTTGTTGGGGCTGCGTAGCACAGGTAGAGAGGGGCACTGGCAACAGCTCGGAAGATTTGGGAGGGAATGTTGGGTCAGGACGGCCCTGGAGTGGGGAGGCTGGAGGGGCAGAGACTCAAGGACACTCAGTCTCACAGGCAAGGCAATCCGGGGGGCTTCCCAGAGAAGGGGATATCTCGCAGTG